AGAGAGGGGAGCGGGAGGGGAGAGGCCGGGATCCAGGTCCCCGGGAGGGCAAGGAGAGAGGGCAAGCAGGAAGAGGTCCTCAGCCCTGGCTCTTCTGCAGGGCCCAGCCTTCATGTCTCCCAACACACACACACACACACACACACGCACGCACGCACACACACACACAATCTTGTCGCTAGGCCCCTCACCTTCCCCAGCAGAGGAGGCTGAGACGGGGCCAAACGGATCTTCTCTGGTGCCCCTCAAATGACCCTGTCCCTGGATCATGAGGGTAGCAGGGCCTGCCCCTACCAAGGTCAGGTGACAGGGGTGCCTGGAGCCAGCTCCACATTGACGGAAAGGAGGAGACTAGAGGCCAGAGGTGAGTCAGGAAGGAATGACTCGGGCCTCCAGGGGTGGGGAAGAGCCAACAGGGTGCTCCTGAGCTGGAAGCCCCCAACGAGGCCAAGACAAGGGCTGGAGCCAGGAGCCAGGAGCAGGGTGGGGACAGGGTGTATGCAATTCCAGCAATTCTGTACTGAGCATAGACTCTAAGATCAGACTCATGACCAGGCTGTTGGAGCCAGGAAGGACAGAGGGATGTGGCCCAGCCACCAGGGAAGCAGAGGTGTGGGACACCCCAGAGGGCAATCTGGGACCGCAGCCTTACCTCCTCTTGGCCTCCTCCTCCTTGTGCTGCCTCCACTCCAGCTTGGTTTTTCGGTAGAGGAGGTTCATGTCGTGGGGCAGGAGGTGGGGGCTGGGGGGCCCTGCTCAGCGCCACCAGGCCCGGGGGGCGGCCCTCCCTGGGTCCCGGATCCACTTGGTGGAGATGGGAAGAAAAAAAGGAAGATGGGGGATGGGTGGGGGCCGGGAATGAATGAGAGAGAGAGAGAGAGAGAGAGAGAGAGGGAGAAAGAAGCGGAGATGTGACTTGGGTCCTCAGAGAGTGGAAAACAGATGGAAGCACAGAAAACCCAACACTGCCTCTAGGACTCATAGACAGACATAGAAGGACATGTGTACACAGTCACACACCTTGACAAAGGTGTCCAGAGCCACAAACACACATCCTGGAGAGATGAGCTCGACACAGATTCCCATCCTGTAAATACATCCCAATCTACCACACAGACAGGCCCCACAAATATACAGCAACCCCACAGCCACACAAACACACAAACCACCAGGCCACAGAACCCATATCTGCAAACAGAGGACCAGACACATAGATCAGCAGGGGTAAACACAACCTAGGATCAGGCAGACACACACAGACATAAACACCCCCGACACACCCACAGCACACACAGATCTCCAGACACACACAGATCGGCTACACAGAACCGGACATACCTACAGACAAGGAGTTATGCTGGGGCCTATTTGCGTACATTGCACCCCACTGGGGAAGGGGGAGACAGTCAGAATCCCCACCCCCTCTTGGGCCCTGAGGCAGGGGGTGTCATGAGGACGGAGTGGGGATGCTGGGGAAGGGGAGGGGGCACTCCAAGTTGGGTATCTACAATACTACTAAACATCTATTTCCATTCCCTGCGAGCAGTTCCCCCTTCCAGTCCTCTTCCTGGGCCCGGGCCACGGTCCATCCCTATTCCTGCAACCCTGGCCCCTCGGTGACCGTCTCCACCTCTCTACGTGATGGCCCAAATCACCTTATTCCTTCTCCAGGATCTGGGAGGCTCCCGGCTTTCCTCTTCCAGTCCCTGCCCTCAATCCCACCGCGGGGGGAGGGGAGGAGGGTGTCTCCAGTCTGGCCCCATAGCTCCCTTCTGAGCTGCGGCCTCCATACCTGTTTTGGTTTCCCTACCCCCCAAACACACTCTCCTTTTCGCCATCGGCCTCACCTCTCCTCCTAGGCGCCCCTCCTCACTGCCGTCCTCTCCCTTCCCTGTTTGTTCCAAACCTGGTGGCTTCATTCCCCTCTCCATCCAAGGGCCCCAGGTTCCCGGGCACCCCTCCCCTTCCCCTTGTCCTGCTACCCTGGGTTTCTCCGTCTCTCGCCCCGTCAACCTCACTACTCCCTGTCCCCCCATCAAACCTCCCCGCACCAAGGCTCCCCAATTTCCACATCACCGTACCTGGCCTGCCGGGCGCCGGCCCCCCCATGCCGGGCTCCGCCCGGAGCAGGAGGAGGGAGGAGGAGAGACAGAGAGAGACCGGGGGGAGCCGAGCTGGGCCCTGCCGCAGAGACAGCCCCGCCTCCGGGTCCGCCCCCAGACCCGCCCCCGGCCCCAAACCCACCCTTCCACACCCTCCAAGGACGGAGTGGGAGCGGCCGCGCCGCGCTGCGCCGCCAGGCTGGGGTGGGAGGCACGAGGGACGCCGAGCCCGCGGAGCCTGCGGGGGGACTCGGAGAAAGGTTGCGGGGCGCGGGGGACCGGGCGCCGGCCCGCCCCCGCTTTGAGGCGTCCGCTCTTCGTCGCCCCTTGGCCCCTGCCCGGCTGGGCGGTGTTCGGCTCGGTGTCCAAGGCCCCGGCGGAGCGAAGTGGGGCGCAGCGCGTAGCGGCGCCCCCAGGTGGCAGCCCAGGTCCTGCACCCCCGCGCGTACCCCGTGCGCGCCCGGCGCTTCCCGGTGCGCACCCCGCGTCGGGCCGGGGCGAGGCTGCGGCTGCGGGGCCCTGAGTGCAGTGAGGCCATGAGGCCGGCAGGGGGTGCCGCTTTCCGGGACGAGAGGCTCGGAGAGTCGCGAGCCCTACCCTCCGCGTTTCTGCCCGGCAGGGGGCGGGCTCCCTGCTCTGCGCCCCATCTTCCTGCCGCCCCCCAGATGCGCGGGGAGCACCGAAGCTGACTCTCTTGGAGCTGGTCGCGTATCCCTGTAGCCTCCTGCGCGGCCGGACCTCATTTCACAGCCTGGGCTCAAAGGCTTCCGCCAGTCCGCCCCCGCCGCCCAGTCATCCTTCCACTAACCTTTGACTCCGCGGCGGCGCCACGTCTTGGGTGCCCTGGGGGTTTACTTCTGACTGGGACTACCAGAGCAATGGTCCGGGTGCGGTCGAGGCGGCTGCCCAAGGTAGCGACCTCGCGCCCCCCCCTTCAGCCCATCACCTTTCTCTTCAGCTCCGAGGAATCCTCACTCGGAAATCCCCTTGCCACACATTAGTTGCAAGAAGACCTGGGTTCTACTCCTAAGTGGCCGACAGATGGACCTCCGAAAGATATCCACCCCTAATTTCCGGAACCTGTGCACGTTACTTTAAATGGCAAATGTTTGCAGATGTGCTGTGTGGCTTTGGGCAAATCACACAACCTCTCTGAGAGATGCCTCATCACGTATTTACCTTCGTAAGGTTGTTGGGGACAGCAAAATAATTAATATAAGGAACTCTGTAAGTCGTAAAATACATTAAAGGGCTATTATTACCCCCTCAAAAGGTAACCCATTAAAATAAAAAATCTTTTCACGTTTACACCTTAATGTGAATGTATTCATGCAATAAACACTTGCGTCGAGACCAGCAATGTCCCAGGGCCTGTAGACGCGGAGGAGTCCTAGTTGACGCTGAGTGTCTGAGTTGGTGGGAAAGGGAGGGTCCAAAGATAAATTTTGAAGTTTGTAGCGAGTCAGCGCTGAAGGAAGGAGGATCTGGGGGCGGAGCAGCAGGGCGGTGTTCTGAATATTGCCAAAGGGGAGAGAGTTGGGGGGTGGGGGTCTTGTGTGGGAGGCTGCTTCCTGGGCCTCAGGACTTGGAAGAACTTGGGACCTGGCTGTGGTGGCCAATGCTACCATGAAGGGAGAGAGGCAGAGTGCAGATGCATTTTAATAAAGAAATACAGAATAAATATATAAACGTGGAGGCAGGAGGCATTATTTTGTTTTTTCCTAACCCTGAAGAATGGTTAAAAATTTCCATGAGCTCAAGCTGAAGAAGGAGGGATGTGTCAGCCAATCCTGGTCTCCATGCCATCAAATACTAGCTCCCAGGCCTCGGGCAGATAACCGAATGCCCAGGAGCCTGTTTCCTCGGCAGAAACTCTGGAGCTTAAACCCTGGAGCTTAGCCCAGGACTGTTTTGAAAATCCATGAGAAAACTATGTAAAGCCAACCAATAATGAGGAATTTTCAACGTGCTCAAGAATAGTCTGTTTGACCAAAATGAATCAGAATCCATTTCCTTCTGAGCCCAAGAGTGAAGGCAGATGTGTGTTAGACACTGCTTTTACTCAGCTTGTTGACTGAGTGTGCCAAAAAAGAGAAAATGACGGTTGGGGGGTTGTTTTTTCACACCAAGCACACAGTCCTTCATGCGTGTGTGTGGACTCTCCATGGCAAAGGAGGGAGGGGATGGGAGAGATGAGGTGCTTTGGGCCCGCTGGGTTTGTCTTCAGGTGCGTCTCTGTGGGTGACTGTGTGTATACATGCACATACGTGTATGTGACCAGGGTTGGAGAGAAAGTGCAAGTCAGCACCTTTCTGAGCACATCTTTATTTCTCCATGTGGGGGCCAGACAAGGGCACACCTGAGTGTGCAGAATGTCCCAGCTGTACCACTGACAGCCTTTCTGAACCTCCCGAGTCTTAATATCCACATCGAAAAAGGGTGCCTTAACAGTGCCTGGGATTGGTTCAACTACTCCAGCACAATGCAACAAAAGATATTGGGAGTATAGATGAACCAAGGTTGGTTGCGAGTTGATCACTGTGCAAATTGCATGATGGGTACCTGGGACTATATCACGCTCTCTCTACTTGGGGGTATGTTTGCAGATTGTCATAATAATCCACGTTTTAAAATAAGGACAGAAAAGGGTAACAGGACCTTCCTCATACTGTTACTGTGAAAGCCGGTAAAGATACGACATTAACGCAGCAGCACCCAAACATTACTGGGTGTTCATGGGGTGGCAGGCACCAAGTAGAGTCCCCAGTAAATTCCTTCCCACTCTTGCGTGGATCGGTAAGCCAATGGCAGCAAGTGCCTACAAGTAAGGGAATCCCTGACCTGCCCGCAAGCTCCTCCCCTTTCTCTCCGCCCTCCACAGCCCCTCCCTCCGAGGAAGCGCTGGGCTAGGGCCCAGCAGGTGTGGGGTTAAGCCCGTTCCGGGGGGCCCCGGGAGCAGCCGCCGCCGCCGCAGCAGCAGCAACTCCACCAGCAGCGGTGCTGGCAGGCCTGGCCCCGGGCCAGCTGGCCGGGAGCCCCAGGAGGCAGTGAGGGCGGAGGAAGGGGAGGAAGAGGGGAAGGAGGAGGAGGAGAGGAGCAGTCAGCAGGCTCGAGGAGGCAGGACTTCCTGGTGTGGGGGTTGTCAACAGCCCAGAAAGAGAAAGGCAGAGAGACAGAAACGAGAGGAGCCGAGAAGCAGAGAGAGACCCAGCCGTGCCACGCGGAGGAGATTTGGGAGACCCACTCGCCCCAACCACTCAGGCGGCTCCACCTGGAGGATCCGGGGGCAGAGCCGCCTCTTCCCGCACCGGTCCGGAGACCCTTGGGGCTTTAGAGGCCGCGCCTGGGCTCCGCCAAGGAGGCGGGGGAATCCTTCTTTTCCGGAGAGCAAACTTTTACTGAGATGCCTTGTGGGGCAAAGTGCGGCCCCCGAAGAGAACTGGACAGCCTCTGATTCCCGCCTGCGCCCCCCGCGCTGCTGGGGCCAAGAGGCCCCAGGGGAAGGACAGCCCGACATCTTAGGCGGCCGGGACCCCTGGCCCAGCTCGGTGGCCGAGGCCGAGAGGTAGGGCTCTGGGCTGGGCGGGGCGCTGGGGCAGCGGGGCAGGGCCTGCCCCAGGGATGGGGGAGCTGGGTGCCGGGGCCGGACACCCAGCAAAGGCCTCTCAGCGGCGGGGCCAGGCTGAGGAACGGCTTCACCCCTGCTCAACCGAGGCCCTGGAGTCCCCCGCCCTCGGGTGACTCGGTCCTGCGAGTTTGAATCCCAGGCAAGAAATGCCCAACTTTGGGTCTGGGCTGCCCCTTCCTACCCCGTGGGACGGCTGGGATCTCCTGGTCTCTTTCGTCTCTGCCCGTCTCTTTGTCTCTGGGTTTCTGGCGGTTTCCCCTTCCTCCCCCATTCTGCTCCCCAGAGAGGAAGCCCTAGAGGTGGCCTGCCCACTGGTTTCTCACAGTCTCTCTCCCTCCCTCCCTCCCTCCCTCCCTCTCTCTCTCTCTCTCTCTTTTTCCAGTTTGCAAACTCAGCTCTGGAGTTGGGCAGCGCCAGCGGCAGGAAAAACCTGCCCCTGCCCCCACCTTCTGCCGCCTCCCCTGCCCTGTGCTCCCTTCACCAACCCGGCACCCCCAGTTCCTGCAGGGCCCTCCCGCCATGTCGGACCCAGATGTCCCCAGGGGCCCTGATGCCCCCGCCATGTGGCCCCCCAGTTCCAGGGGTGCCTGAGCCCCTTCAAGGAGCCCCAGCTGCACCCCCGCCCACCTTGGCCGAGTCCTAGCCCCAGGGACCATGAGTGGGGGCAAGAAGAAGAGTAGTTTCCAAATCACCAGCGTCACCACGGACTATGAGGGCCCAGGGAGTCCAGGGGGTTCTGAGCCCCCTGCCCTGCCCGCCCCCACTGGGCCCCCACCCCGCCTGCCTAATGGGGAGCCCAACCCCGAGCCGGGGGGCAAGGCCACCCCCCGGAACGGCTCCCCACCGCCTGGGGCCCCTGCCTCCCGTTTCCGGGTGGTAAAGCTGCCCCACGGCCTGGGAGAGCCTTACCGCCGAGGCCGTTGGACGTGTGTGGATGTTTATGAGAGAGACCTGGAGCCCCCTGGCTTTGGCCGGCTCCTGGAAGGAGTTCGAGGGGCTTCGGGAGGCACTGGGGGCAGATCTTTGGATTCCAGGTTGGAGCTGGCCAGCTTGGGCCTGGGTGCCCCAACCCCGCAGCCAGGCCTGTCTCAGGGCCCCACCTCCTGGCTCCGTCCGCCCCCCACCTCCCCTGGACCTCAGGCCCGCTCCTTAACCGGGGGGCTGGGCCAGCTGGCAGTGCCTGGCAAGGCCAAGGTGGAGACACCCCCACTGTCTGCCTCCCCACCCCAACAGCGCCCCCCAGAGCCTAGGACTGGGGATAGCGCCAGCACGACCCGGGCTGCCACGCCCCTGCCCTCCCTGAGGGTGGAAGTGGAGGCTGGGGGCTCAGCAACAGGGACCCCTCTGCTGTCCCGGTCGAAGGATGGAGCCCTGCGGCTGAGGATGGAGTTGGTTGCTCCAGAGGAGATGGGGCAGGTAAGAGCTGGGTTCTGGGGTGGGGGAGACACCTGAGGGGTGGTGCTTGCCCATCTCAGCCTGGGCCTCCAGCCTGGGCCTTCCTGTCTCCACCTTCAAACCACCCTCTCCCCACTTGTCTGTCACATCAGGTAGCCTCTCTTTTCTCTTCCTGCCCTTTTCCTGGGAAGCCCTTCCTACTCCTCACACAGCCTTTTCCTTCTCAGGCTCCCTCTTCCCCTACATTCTGCACCTTCTTTCTTTCTCTTTAGCCTTTAACTTGTTACCTTTGGCCCAGGTCTCTGTTTCCATATAGCCCAGTTCTGTCTCTCCATCACAGAGATGTAGTCTCCTCACTTTGGCCCTTACCTTCTGTCCTGGTTTCCCCCCTTCTGGTTTCAGACATTGAGGGTGGAGGTCCCAGGTGGGGCTGGGTGCTTGGGCCTCTGGGAGAGGAGCTGCCAAGGTTGGTAGGGAGGGGTAAAAAGTAGTCCTCCCGCTGTAAGTCTCCCTGTGTGTCTCGGGGCCCTGCATCTTGGCCTCTCTACTATGATTGTCACTGGGGGTGGCCATTGGGGAGTGGGAGAGAAGCAGGAAGCAGCCCAGAGAGAGTTAAATCCTTTGCTTTTTCTGCTTCCTGTCTCCAAAAGAGGAACAAGTCTGGGCTGGGGGGCAGGATGCTTGGGTCCCTGGGGTGGGGGTGGGCAGCCAAGGGTGTGGGGGATGGATGTGTCTGTCCTGAAGGAGAAAATAACACCTTGGACTGCAGAAGAAAAGGCAGGGAGTGTGAGAATGAGAACTTTCCCCCCTTCCTGGCCTTGGGCACAAACCACAGTATAAAAATAACCTGGGACTGGATGTCTGGGCTCTGTCAGGACCGGTCAGGACCGGCTCCCCCACCCCCTCCTGGCCTCAAGCTCACATCTCTCATGCTGCGCCCCCTACTTTTCTTGAGCTCTTTCAGTCAATTCCTACCCCAGGGGAGAAGATGCTGTTTCCTTTACTGGTCCCTGTCCCCATGCTCTTCCAAAGCAAGGCCCCTTTACCCCAGTCCCTCTGTGTCATTAAGCCCTGGCCAAGCTTCCCTTGGACCTACAGACCCTTCGCCTCTGTCCTCAGTGTCTCCAGACCCCTTTGTGCCTCAACCCACATCCTGTGTGCACGCATCTGTGCTGCTGTTTCCCTATCCTGAAGTCTGGCTCCCTTCTCTCAGGAGAGAGGCTGGGAGGAGGGCCGGGGGACACCACCTGGGCCCCCTTCCTCTGCTCTGTCCTTCTAACCACTCTGGACTCTCTGTTCTTGGCTTTTCCGAGAAGCAGGGGCCTCCTGGGGCCTCACAGAGGCGTCTTGTTCCTGTGGCCCCCGCCCTTTTGCAGCTACCCCCAGCGCCTGTTGGGCTGTGTGGGTCCATGCCCAGGCTCCGCCTCCCTCCATCTCTGCAACCCAACCGCTCACCCCCCCCACCCCACCCCAAGGGCCCAGCGTAGGAGCAGAACCTCACCTGAATCTGAGAACTTTGAGAATAGAGGCTAGAAAGGATGGGGGGTGGGGGGGGGAGGACCAGTTTCTGAGTATTCATTCATTGTACAAATAGTTATTGAACAAACTATAAGCTCTGCCCTCTAGAGCTTACCTTCTAGCGGCAAGGAGGCAAAAATACTTTAATTTCAGATACTATTAGGTGCTATATAAAAAAACAAACAAACAGAACAGTTTAGTGGAATTCATTAGTCCAGTGATGGGGAGTGACATTTGAGTTGCTTTAATAAGTCAGTGATTGAAAGCCCAGACACTCTCTGACAAGCCTCTGATTGGGGCTCCTGGTTCTACTGGTGGAAGGGTACTGGAGTGCAGGCCAGAGCACCTTCTAGTACCCTGTGAGCCACTTTTTGGAAGCTGCTTACACCCAGTCCTCAGGATGGGCACTGTTTCCCTTGCCTCTGATACCTGCCTAATGCCTCCACCAGAGCTGGGCGAGAGAGGGGGGCTTTAGGGCAGGACCTCGGAAGAGAGCAGAGGTATGTGGGGAGAGATGAGGAAGAAGACTACTAGGCAAGTTGTAAGGTGGCCTGTTCTTTTCTTGCGCTTAACGTGATGGTTCCTACCTCTCTGCCTCCAGGTGCCCCCGATCGACTCTCGCCCTGGCTCCCCAGCCCTCTACTTGTTCCCCGATGCCAGTCTGGTTCACAAGTCTCCAGACCCCTTTGGAGCAGCGGCAGCCCAGAGCCTCAGCCTGGCCCGCTCCATGCTGGCCATCAGTGGCCATCTGGACAGCGATGATGATAGGTAGGTGGGCTCTGGGTCCCCACCCAACACCTGGGTCAACTGCATGAAACTGCCTGGTAGGTGTCCTTCCCTCAAGTTGTACTTGGAGAGGACCTCTTCAACAGTGAAAACTGGCTTGGGCACAACCACTGGGCAAAGTTGATTTGGGACCCACTCCCTCCCTGTGGAGAGAGCTGGGTGGGACTCCCTGGCTTAGGATTGTCAAATCATAGGCTTTTTTTTAGAGTTTGAAGGGAGTCATTGTTGTCAAATTCCAGAGCTCTTGCAGATTTAGCGATCATTTGGCCAACCCTAAGAATTTACTGGCAAATGCACTGGAGAGGCGAATAGGGAGTGGGTCTCCTCTGGGTTTCCACCTCCCTCTCCCTACTGAGGAGAATGGAACTCCAGCCTTTGGAGGTAACATCCTTAGACACTGTCTGCACTACTTAAGGATCCTAGGACTTCTAGTGCCAAGAAAGCACGTCCCTGAGGTTCTGCTCTCTGCTCTAGGAATACGAGGAGGGCTGAGTCCTCCTTGCCGCCGCCAAGCCATAGCCCGGGGAGATGGCTGTGGGGCGCAGAAGAGGCACAGGAGAGCAAGATCTTCTAGGGTTTGCCCTTCAGAGGAAATAAGTGCATTCAGTTTGGAGGCACGGTGGGCAGAACTTCCTGTTTCGAGGGCCAGGTTTCAACATAGGAATGTCAGCAAAGCTGAAAAGGGAGGAACGAAATTGCATGTCAGATAGGCACATAGCTCCCTTCTGGCTGTGGACTGATAGAAAGGCTGGGGAGTCACCACTTTTATTTTGGAGGGAGGAGTGGGACTTCCTGTTCAAGGCCTGGAGGGAGGGACTTCCTGTTTGGAAGGAAATAAGGGGTGGGGCTTAGCCTTGAGTTTTGTGGGTGGTGAGGAGACAGACCTATTCCAGAAGGGAGTCTCTCCTGCCTGTTTGTGTCTCCATCTCCGGTGGCGCCACCCCCAGAATCAGGGACTAAGTTTAACCAAAGAAAAGGGCTTGTGGCCTTGGGGAGAGGCAGGAGGCAGAGAGGAAAGAGAAGGGGTGGCCAGAGGCCAGTGGGATGGAAAGCAAGGGGCCTCCTGATGGCTCATGGAGAATGAGGGACACAGTGGAGCAGGGCTGCTTCTGGGCTCCCTGCTCTCAGGAATGTGTGAGGTGTGAGGTTGGCCAGGGCTGAGCGAGTCACCTGGCCCTGTTGCTGCTGTTCTCAGAGCTTTCCACCCTTATTCCCTCCCATTGGGAGGTTGCCTGGCATGAGGGCTCCCTGTCCTTCCCCAGCCATGTTGATTTCAGAGCCCAACCTCCTACTTCTCCTTCTTAGAGGGCTCTGCCTCCAGGAGCCTCCTCAGCTCTATTCTTTTGGCTTGTCCCCTCCTTCCCTCCCTCTGTCCCACTCCCTCCCCACACCCCAGTCTGACCGGTCAGGCACCCAGCCTCCACTTTATCCTCCTCCACTCCAAGGCTCTGGGGCTCTGGCCCAGCCCAGCCCCTCTCCTGCCCCACCCTACTGGGCCAGTAGGATTGGGTTGGGCCATCCCCCTTGGCCCCCTGGAATGAGCCATGTGGCCCCCACCTCACCTCTCTCGTGTGCCCAGAGCTGGCAGGAGGACAGGGTCTGAGTGGTGTGGAAACTCCTTTTTAAGAGAGAAAGTGGGCTGGGGAGTTAAGTGCCTGGATCTCAGATGGGGAATTGGGGGATGCCTGCCAATCTCAGAATCTGGGGATGGGAGAACAGAGGGTGCCTGGTGAATTCAGACTGCTTATGTGCTTCTGGATGGCAAGAACTGTCATGTCCCCAACAGGGCCTGGCAGTTGGTCGGTGCTTAAATAAGTGGATAGATGGATAAATGGATGGGTGGATGAGGGAATGGATGGGTGGATGAGGGAATGCATGGGTAGATGGCCAGCATGGAGGATCCATGCATTATAGGTAATGAATCCCAGGGACTTGGGAAAGAAAAAGTACATTTATTTATCCAGTGCCTCCTTTGGGTCAGGTGCTATCTCTTATCTCACTAAAGCAACCTCATGACTCCCACTTTCCAGATGAAGAAACTGAGACTCAGAGAAGAAAGGTTTTATTTATTTTTTATTTTTTTAAATGTTTTCTTTCTTTTTAAAAAAATATTTTTTATAGTTTATTTATTTTTGAGACAGAGAGAGACAGAGCATGAGTGGGGGAGGGGCAGAGAGGGAGGGAGACACAGAATCTGAAACCGGCTCCAGGCTCTGAGCTGTCAGCACAGAGCCTGACGTGGGGCTTGAACCCACAGACTGCGAGATCATGACCTGAGCCGAAGTCAGACGCTTAACTGACTGAGCCACCCAGGCGCCCCAGGAAAGGTTTTAGAAACCTGCCCAAGGTCACCTAGCTACTAAGTGACAGGACTGCATTCAAAGCCTGGGTCTGACCCCAGAGCCACATTCTCCACTCTCCTACTGGGATGCCTATGTTCCAAGAGAAGAGGAGGAGCAGCCCTCTCTAGGATGCCCTTTCTCTTCAGGACAGAGGCAGGGACAGCTCTCCCAAGCTGGGCAAGGAGCCACCCACCCCAACCCCCCCTACACTCTGGCCTGGCCCCACCCCAAAGGCACCACAGATCCGGGAGGGAGTATAGAGAGGGCAGCCGGATGCCGCTTTGTTGGCCTCAGGCCCATCCCCTGCGGGCTCCTCAGAACATAGCTGGGAGTAGAGCTGGCCCTTGTCCCCAGAATCAGAACCTTTCTACCTCTCCCAGGTGTCCTGCTTCTTCGTCTGGTCCTCATTTTGAGGCTGTTTCATTTGACCTTCAAAAAGGAAGACCAGCCTCTAGGGCTGTCCTTGCCCCAGGACCCAAGGGTCCCACAGAGCCAGAGTCCCCGGTTGTGCATACTATGCATGCACAACCCCAGGGGCCGCCACTCACATTTGAAATCATTGTCGTCAAAACTTGGAAGTCATGCAAGTTTTCTGGAAGATGGCAAAAAGTGTCTTGAATAAAGGGGCATTTTGTTCTAATTCACATAGTCGCCTTTTGGGCTTGTGGTAGGGGCTGATCCCACCCAGCCAACTCCAAGCTTCCTGGTCCTGGCCCTGCCCAGGAATTCCAACACAGTGCCTGCCATTTGCTTATTCCAGGCGCTCTCAAAGGGAGTGTTTGGGTTGCCAGCCAGAGTCCTGGTCCCTTGAAGTGTTAACATTAGAATGCGACAGTGGAAAGTGCTGTCAAAAACTCTCCAGCACTAGACAAACAGGAGATAGTCATCTATCAGCCAACAAATGTTTATTGTTGTATTATTCCTTTATTTCTGGCAAGAACAAACAACTTACTTGGCATCTTTACCTGAGTGTCTGCCAAGCAAGGCCAGTGTTCCTATTCCTGTGAATCTTCCCCTCTTTGGTCTCACTGTGTCTTGTGTGTACTGGGGAAGGGGGGTGGTGGTGGTGACCTGTGGTGGCCCAGGCTCCACCCAGGTGTCTTAGATTGAAATAGCTTGAAAATTGCCCTGGCTCTCCAGCTGGCTGGCTCACCTTCCACTCTTAAACTTGTTTTGTCCCCCTCAACCCCAAGAGTCCCTGATGTCCTTCTCCCATCCCACCCTGTCCTGCTCTTTCAGGCCTGGTCACCCCCTTGGTTACTCTACCTGTCAGCGCCTTCTGCACCCAGAGCTTGGACAGGAAATGGAAAATTCCCAGCTCCCTCGTGCTCTCTTCCTGGCTGCAGGGCCTCATCCAAGGGTCACCTTGAATTGAGTGCTAATTCCCCCCACAGGGAAGTGAGTTGGAACTGACAATCAGGAGAAAGGGCTTGCAAAGGGAGCACAGGAGTGCAGGATGCCACATGTTGAGACCACCCGCTTTGAGAGGGGCAAAGCTGGGAGCTGGAGGACAGGATCATGGGTGATCCTGCAGCACAGGGGGGGCCTGGGTGTAGAGCTGGCCCCAGGGCTGAGGTGGCTGAGGGAGAGGTTGATCAGGTGTGGGTCGTGAGCTATGGGATGAAGCAGGAGCCTGAGACCCGAATGGTGACAAGAAGGAGACTTGGGGGACAGGGCAAGGCAGAAAGTCTTGTGCAGGCCCTTGGTCTCCCTTGGCCTCCGAGGGACAAGACTTGAGGGATCCAGAGACGGCCCTGAGAACCATTCAGCCAGGCCTGAGTCGACCTCTGGTGGCCATTTAACAAATTGCAGCCAGACCTGTTCTCCCCTGTCATGGACTCCCAAGGGTCCTCAAAACCCTTGCTCCAATTCTCCATGTCCCACCTCCAGCCTTCACTTTCCCACCTCCCCTCAAGTCTTTGTTCCCTCCAAGACCCCGAACCTGAGACCCCGCTTCCAGATCCATAGGCTGTCCTTGTTTTTCAGGGCTCTGTTTTCATTGCTTTGGTAACCTTTCCATTCCTCTTCTCCCTCAGAGACCCTCTGGCCAGGCCCCAGGGGTCACTCATGATATGGATTTTGTGTCTGGGGTAGGGGGGTGCTTACAAGTCCAGGGAAGATGACAAGTATATCCGAAACACCACCACCCCCATCCCAGCCGAGTGGAGCTGAGGGCTTGAGGGAGACCAGTGTTAGTCCAAAGGGGACGGGATGGGTGGAGGCGGGGGGAGGTCTCCCTAGGCCAGGCTGTCCCTCACCCTTCACATCTCTCCCTGACCCAGGCCTCTGGCCCCAGAGCCCCTCCCCTGACCCAGCCCACCAGCTGACTTCCCTCAGCCTGCCCCCTTCCCTCTGCTCTGGGATTGGTGCCAGGGTGAGAAGGGGACATTGGCACTGACTGCGTCTGGGAATTCCCGCCCACCATGGTGGTTGGTAGGAGGGGGTCCCCGTGTCCCTGAGGAGCCAATAGCAGCCAGGCTTTGCCCTGGGGGGTGGTGTATATCTTTCAGACCAGCACCCCCTAGGCACTGTCTCCTCTCTGCCTGCCTGGCACCAGCCAGACCCCGCTCTGCCCGGGGGGCTCTGAGCCCCCCAGGCAGTCCTTCTGATACAGCTCTCTCCCTTTGGGGGTTGCCTAAAGCCCTTTCCCTTGGGGATGGCCCAGCCAGGCATCTCTGTCAAGTCCCTGGTGTCATCGTATGAGACCCGAGTGGTGGGGATGGCTCCAGGGCCTCCCCGGAAAAGGGGCTGTGTCTCCTCTCCTTGCTCTCCTCGGGGAGCATCCCCCATCCGAGGGGCATCTGCACCCCCATCTCACCGGGGCCTGGGGGGGCCTGGACAGCGGCCCTCACCCCGCCGGGGGATGGACAAAACCCTCCTCTCCCTGATTCTCTACTGTCACAGGTACAGGCAGGGGTGTGGGTGGGAGGCTGCAGTGAATGGGGCTTGTGGAGGAGGCCAGAGCCTGCTCTTGAGAAGGAACTGGAAGGTAGCCGGCTAGGGTGTCAAGACACTAGGCTTGGCACCTGCTCTTCCCCCTCACTTCTCATCTCCCTGTGTCTCTCCAGCGGCTCCGGAAGCCTGGTTGGCATTGACAACAAGATCGAACAAGCCATGGTAAGAGAAGCCATCTTGGTCCCAGGTGGTCCTAGCTCCCATGTCCTGCTCCCCTCCCCTGCTGTCCTTATTAGGGAATACTAATTCCCAGCTCCTTATCCGACTCCCCGCTATGTTACCTTGGGTTCTTCACCCCCAACTTTCTCCACCTGAACTCTTTATTTCCGTTGGTCTGTGATCCAGCCCCCATCTCTGTTTTCAAGCCCTGACCTTGTCTCTGCCCCCTCTTCCCACTCTGTGCCCCACCCCCCACTTCCCCTTTGCTGCTTCTCCTGTGGTCCTCCATTTGGGAGCAGGGGCATCTCTCACACCCAGACCCTCGAGACACCAGGCACTTAGGGTGGCCTGGGACCCCTGACCCTTTGCCTGTCCCGGGCCCCCAGGACTTGGTGAAGTCCCACCTCATGTTTGCGGTCCGGGAGGAGGTGGAGGTGCTGAAGGAGCAGATCCGAGACCTGGCTGAGCGGAATGCCGCGCTGGAGCAGGAGAATGGACTGCTGCGTGCCCTGGCCAGCCCTGAGCAGCTGGCCCAGCTGCCCTCCTCAGGGGTCCCGCGGCTTGGGCCCCCTGCGCCCAATGGGCCCTCCATCTGAGCCTCCCTTCCCTCACAATGTGCCTTTGGGGGCTTCCACAGCTGCCAGGCCTTGTGCCAGCTGCCCGCCCCCTCTTCCTATGCAGCTTTAATGCCTCCTGATCCCTGGGGATGGGAGTTGAAGGGTCAGAATTGGCTTGTCCGCCCGCCCCACTCTTCCTCAATCTCCCCCTAGTGCCCAGGGACTGAGCTGCGGCATCTCCATGCCTTGATGGAGGAGGGAGGGCTTCAGGATGGGGTGTTAGATGGAGCCCTCCTCCTCCTTCCCAAGATGTCAGTGTTCTGGGACCCCTGGCAGTAGATGGCTGGGGGCGTTGGAGTCTCCCTGGCAGACACCCCATCCCCGCCTTGTTCCCTCAAAGTACCCCCTCTCCTCTGCCCAGGGGAGGGAATATGGACAGTCTGCGAGTTCTGGGATTCAGGTTGTTATTAAAATAATAAGTATAATTAAAAAAAAATCCGAAGAAACTTGAATCTGGATGTTGGCATCTCGTTGCTTGTGTCCAGATGGGGCCTGCAGTGGCATTTCCACTTGTGGGGGAACGACTGAGGCTGTGGGCTCCCTTAGAGATCTTGTGCAGACTGGGAAGGTTGAATGTGGCTCAGAGTGGTTGAAAAAGTGTGGAGCGGGGTTGGCCGGGAGGGTGGGGAAGCGGCTCAGGTCCTGGGAAGGGGCAGGCAAGCAAGACAGAGGGAGTGGAGGGGGGAAGGGGGGCGTCAGCCCACGTGCTGGGGGGACAGGGAAACAATGAGGCCTTTGGTAATTGTGCAGGATCCACCCCCAGCTTCCCAGTGTGTCCCCTCTGTGGGCTGGATCCCGGTAGCGGCTTGGGGGTGGGGCTGAGGGCCCTGAATGGGCCCCTTGTCTCAGCGCTGGGTGTGGGCCAGGCTCCCCGGGCACACGGTGCCCTTGCCAGGCCTGGGCCTGGCCGGCCCCCGTGGCTTCCACCCCCAGCTGGCTGAGGACCGGCCCTGTGGGTGAGCAGGCCCCACCCTGGGAGGCTGGGCTGGGCTCCCGTCCCTGGCTGCAGAGACAGGTAGGGAGAAGGCTCCCACCTAGTGGGGAAGGGGGGAAGCAGCAACCACTGTCTCAGAGCACAGTGACCCCAGACTAAAGAGGACCTGTGGAGAGTGGAACACTGGAGGCCCACCCAGGTCAGACATCCCATCCCTTGGCTCCCTACATTCATGACCTTGGGCAGGTTCTTTTGTTTTTTTTCTGAATCTCAGCTTCCCCACGGGCAAAATGGCACTGACAGTAATACCTACCGGAAGGGCAGCTGTGATGATTACATGACATCATACATGGGAAATGCCCAGTGAGTACCAGGTGCTCAATAAATGTTAGCTTCCCTTCCCCGGACCTGGGGGAAGGAGGGCTGAGGGCGCTGGGATTGGCTCCGGGGGTCCTGGAAGGGCCTCGGGGGTTGGGGTCAGGGCCAGGTAGGCTCTCACAATGGGCTAGAACTTTGCCTTCCTCTGAGTTCTCATCCACTTTGACTCCTCTCCCTGTCTCAGGGAGGGGAGGAAAGACTTAGGATGAGTTGTCGGTGAAAGCTTTCCCTCTTGGATTCTCCATTTTTTTCTTTTGGCTGCACTTGAAGCTCCCAAGAGACCCCTCAGGTGGTGGCCACTAGCCTGCAGCCTGTTCCCCTCCACCCTTTGTACCAAATGCTTGTCCTGCCCCCTACTCGGTGCTTGTGTATTGGGAGAAATGGCGGTGGTTATGAGGTTCTTCCGATGGATTTGGCGAAAGATTACTTGCTGGGTGAGTTTCAGAGGATGTTCCATCCTCATGATATGCTTGGGTTTGAGGTGTGGGTCAATGACCTCTAGGTCACAAGAACTCATTTGGGGAGGAGGCCGGGACACCCACTGTCCCTTACCTTCTGTGCTTGCCTTTCTGCCGACCACTGTGCCCCTCTTTTGTCTTTCCTCTCCCTGTCTTGGATCTTAGGTTTTCTTCTGGAGAGAAAAAACTAAGTCAACCTTCTTGGAACACCATCATTCCCAGAAGAGTGTATTGAATGTGGAGAAGACTCCCAAGGTGGTTGAGACTTTCAAGTTGGTTGAGCCCAGCAAAGAGGCTAAGGTCTCCAAGATGGAGGAGTCCCCCAAGGTGGCTGATCCCTGCGAGCTGGCCAAAGCAACAGATAGGGCTGAGGTAGAGCCGGGTCGTAGGGCCCGATCCCTGCTGCAGCTGCCCCAGACAGCTGTCAAGTCTGTCTCCACGCTCATGGTCACGGCCCTGCAGAGCGGCTGGCAAATGTGCAGCTGGAAGGTCAGCACCATATTTCCCTGGTTCCCAATGGTCCTCCTGTCCTCCCAGAGCCCCCATGACTCATTCTCCCTTCCCGTCACTTGTTCAGCATTTATTTTGTGTGCTTTTCCTAAGTGCCAGGCACTGAGGCAGTCAACTGAGGATACAGGGTGAACAAGATTTACCCAGACTAAAGGAGCTACAGACAAGGTCATAGGCATTGTGGGTTCAGTGTCTTAGGGTGTGGCACGGGAGGTCAGTGGTCTGTGGGAGCCCAGTGAAGCGGCATCTCCTCCTGATATGGGGCAAGTCAAGGAAGGCCTTCCTAGCAAGAGGGAGGGTGATACTGAGACCTGAAGAATTGGGCCTGCCTTGGGTGGGGTGCAGAGGGAGTGAGGGGAGCATTCCATGAAGATAGAGTAGCAAGTGGGCTGGGTAGGGAGGTGCTGGCCCAAGGTGATGGGTATGGGCAATCCTAGGGCCAAGGGCCAGCAGAGTGAGTGGCCATCTGTAGAGTTTGGATTTGACCCTAAAAGCAATGGGAGCCCTCGTACAACCAGATTTTAATTTAGAAAGCTCGCCTGCTGTCATATTGTGGCCACTCTGGAAATGGTTTCATAGTTGCTTATGAAACTGAGCATGTAATTATCTTATGCCGAGCGATTGTACTCTTGGGCATTTATCCCAGATAAATAAAACTCTATATGCACACAAAAATCTCTACATGAAAGGTTCCTAGCAGCTTTATTTGTAACAGCCCAGACCAACTCCAGTTTCCTTTGGTGGGTGAATGATTAAACTCTGATATCCATACCGTGGACTATTTCTCAGCCATAAAAAGAAATAAATTATTGATACAGGGAACAACAAGGTAGACGAATCTCAGGAATTAGGCTGAGTGAAAACAACCAGTCCTCAAAGGTTGTATCTATACTGTATGATTCTATTTATATTATATGCCACTCTTGAAATAACAAAATTGTAGAAATAGGGACTCGATTCCTGGTTTAGTGCTTGCCAAAGATTAGGGTTTAGAAGAGGGAGGTAGGTTGGTTATAAAAGGACAATAGAAGGAATTCTTGTGATGATAGAAATGTTCTGTATGTTGACTGTGGCAGTCGGATAGGTGAACCTGTGTATGTGAGATAAAATGAGGTAGAATTCAACACACACACACAAATGAGTACAAGCAACTGGTGGGGGGGGGCGGGTATGTGAATAAGATCAGTGGATTGTATGGACGTCAGTATCCTGACTATGATACTATACTGTGGTTTTGTAAGATTTTACTATTAGGGCAAACTGGGTAAAGAGTATATGGGGACTCTGGTATTTCTCACAACTGCATGTGACTATAATTATCTCAAAGTCAGAAACTTAATTTTATTTATTAATTTAAAAAACTTTTTAATTTTTTTTATTTTTGAGAGAGAGAGACAGACAGAGTGTGAGCCAGGGAGGGTCAGAGAGAGAGGGAGACACAGAATCCAAAGCTGGCTTTAGGCTCTGAGCTGACGTGGGGCTGGAACTCACGAACTGTTGAGATCATGACCTGAGCCGAAGTCAGATGCTTAACTGACTGAGCCACCCAGGTGCCCCAGAAACTTGATTTTAAAGAAGGAAGTGCCTATGAATGTCTGGGTGGTGCAGTTGGTTGAGTATCCAACTCTTGATTTGGCTCAGGTCATGATCTCATAGTTCCTGAGATTGAGCCCTGCATTGGGGTCTGAACTGATAGTGTGGTGCCTGCTTGGGATTCTCTCTCCCTTTCTCTGCCCCTCATCCCCCAATAAATAAATAAAAATTAAAAAACATAAAATATAGGGACGCCTGGGTGCTTCAGTCAGTTAAGTGTTCAACTTCGGCTCAGGTCATGATCTCTTGGGTTCAAGCCCCACGTTGGGCTCTGTACTGACAGCTAGCTAAGAGCCTGGAGCCTGTTTCAGATTCTGTATCTCCCTCTCTCTGACCCTCCCCTGCTCACACTGTCTCTCTCTCGCTCAGAAAAAAATAAAACATAAAAAAAATTAAAACTATATAAAATATAAAAAGGGAAGTGTCTAGATCACTACCAAACAAACTTATTTTGGCCTTGAATGAAGTATTACAGCATTTAATAATAATAATAATAATAATAATAATAATAATAATAAAGTTCACTGGGCTGCCCTGTGGAGAGAGCAGGTCAGAAAAGGACTAGAGGAGAGGAGGCAGGATATTTAAGAGGTAGAACTGTTGGGGCATCTGGGTGGTTCAGTTGGTTAAGGGTTTGGCTCAGGTCATGATCTCACGGTTTGTGAGTGCAAGCCCTGTATTGGGCTCTGTGCTGTGAGCAAGAACCTGCTTCAGATCCTCTGTCTCCCTTTTTTTAAGAGGTAGAATTGTAGAACCAGCTGGTTGACTGGATGACGGGGTGAAAGGAGAGAGATAGAAGTCAGAGCAGGCTGGAGCCATATACTGGGATGGAGAATGAAGGAGCAAGAGCACACTCAGGGGACCAAGTGAGGAGTTTAGAGTGTTGGGACAAGAGGAGTTGAAATGTTGGTAGGACATCTGTACGGAGGTATCTAGGAGGCAGTGGGATACACAGGCTTGGAGGTGAGGAGGAAACTCTGGACTGGAGACAGAGATCGGGTGCCATCCTGTCCTTCATTTGAACACCCTCCCCATGATGCCCTAGTGAGGACTCCACGGTGAGTCAGACATGGTCCCTGTCTTTCAGAAGCTTGCTTTCTAGTGTTGAAAGCAGGCAGATCCATAGAACAAATAGTGTATGAAATGCAGTGCGATGGGGCAAACACAAGGGTGGAGACAAAGACCACCCAGTGCAGTCTGGGAAGGCTTCCTGAAGGAAGCAGTGACCGATTGAGGATGTGGAACTAGACAGGCGTTTGCTGTTTATCAGGCAGTGCTTCCACCAGCAGTTTCTCCCTAGACCAAGGTACTTACATATGCACATTTCTCTCTCTTTCATAGTCATCTGTGAGTTCTACCTCCATTTCCTCCCAAATGAGGTCTGGGTCCCCACTGGAGACGCCAGAGGCTGAGATGCTGCGGGAAGTGTACCTGATACTGTGGTCCATTCGGAAACAACTACGGCAGCTGGCCCGCAGGCAGGAGAGGCGGAGGCGGCGCCACATCCGGGCCCACTCTGGTCCCCAGCCTGACACGGCTCAGGCTCAGGACCTGAAACAGGATGCCCGGAGTCCCCTCTAGGG